CATATATATATATATATATACATCACACAATTTTTATGTATCTACATTTCCAACAACTGTTTTAGTATCATAAGCATGTCTAAATATGTGCATGGAAAAGTATGTTTTATGTTACAATGTTAATAATAGTGATGTATATTTTGATATGACGACGCATAAAAATAATATAATGCATGTAAAACACCCTAAGAAATATGGATGGAGAAGCAATGCTCTGCGACTGAAATAAGACTGTTAGTGTATTCAAATAGAAAGCATGAGTTTGTTAATTATCCGTTCTAAGAACAAGGTATAGTTTACTACTAGAAAAACATTGACATTTGCATGCATGCCACACAATTCTTTGGTATTTACAATCTTAACTCCTAAACATATATTTACATGCAAATCAGCCAAATCTCTAACATCACATCAAAATTATCACCATCGCTATTTTTAAAATGAAATATAGATTGATAAGCTATTGACAAATTTTCTTCATATGGTGCGTAGCTCCATGCATTAAACTGATCTCATGATAACTTTTTAAGTAATAAATATTTAAACTTCAATTAAAAGTAATCCAGAGCTTCAATTTCAACAAACTTAGAGTCAAATTGACCGGCTTGATGAGACAGACCCGATGATATCAAAATTGATATAATTCAAGTCAAAGCAAGCTCAGATTAAGTCATTAAGTCACACTAGAAAGCTTTTCAGGTATGTTTAGAAGATCAAATAGATGTCGAATCTGGCGAGTCTATAGTCGAATCAAGTGTCTAAGTAAAACGAATCAAACGAGCTCAAGATCACTCACTTATGACATCATTAAAGCACTCAAATGACCATCAAACATCGTTTGATCAAGACAATCTTTCTGAGGTGTCTGATCAGAGTGGTTCAAAGTTCATCATTAATTGCAGTTGAGACTCTATAAATAAGAGCCCCACCCCACTCAATGGGGATAGGAGAGCTTTAAGCCTAAAGAAGAGCTTCAAGTTTTGAGAACGTGCTGAAGTCCAGCATCACTCCAAACACCGTAAACCACTGCCTATCACCGTCGACCACAATTAGTCAATCCTCGCCAATCATGATCACTCGCAGCCACTACTTTGTGATGATATCGTTCTTACATCAACGTTGTACTTCAGAAGACTTTGCAACACTTTCCCATTTGTGGAACAAGAGGTCTCTATAATCATCACCTTATAGTAAAATTTTTCAGTTGGGTCAAACCCCAAGATTTTTTCCTTTACGGGTTTTCCACGTAAAAATTAATGATGTCATTATTAGTTATTTTCTCTCTTCTGAGTGTGTGTTGAATCTTCATTCCACGCTAAGACATATATTGCTCTACTGCCGCAAATTTTCACATTTTCATGCATTGTTAGATTTATGACACCAAAGTGTTATAAGTTTAAATATCAAACTTAGGTTGTAAATGTGTAAATACCTAAAAACTCTACGGTATGCATGTAAATTTTCAAAAAAAAAAATAATAATAATGAACAGTAATAAAAATACTCTCGATTTAGGTCAAACCATTCTTTAAGAATAGAATTTACAAAACTCCATACAGTCATTTCAGGCAGAAGACGACTCAATTAGAACGGCATAAAACTAGGTTGAAATTCAACTGCTTATAAACCCTAATTTACCTAAGCAGCTTCAAAATCTTAAAATTAAATAACTCCATAATATAATTTCTCTCCTTAGAAAAATTATCATGTCCCTGAACCGCACATCCGGATTCATAATGGTGATAATTCGGCCACGTCACTGAGCATTTTGCTTATTATATTATATATATCTATTTATATATATAATGATGATTTTGTGTCTTTTATTGCGTAGAAATAATATTTATTTTAATCTAACACCCAACAAGAGCAAAAATATGACAAAAAAACATTGTTCACAACAAATTTTGAACACTGAGTCAATTCAAAACAAAATTTACCTCGAACAAGACAAACACGAGTCAAGCTTGAACTCGCTAAAAAATTTTAATAAATACCAAAAAATTAGTAATTATCTCTTTACACTATACAACAAAAGAGAATATCAATCATTTAAGCAATCACTAAGAAATACTTGAAAGCTACGGTGTACTCACACAGACACACATCTAACTACTGTTCAACATCACATTGATCGCTACGTTTCATTTAAAATAATAATGAATAAATAATAAGAATTGAAATACTAAATTGCAATAATTGAAGGCTAATAATAATTTGCCCCTAAAAATTTAATTATTAAAATTATTTTTTTTCTCATAATATTTAATTTTATTTATTTTATAGAAATAAAATTTCGGGGCATTTTTCATACATACAATTCTTATATATTTATTATATATCTAACACTTAAATGTCAATACTTACATTTCACTCAAACTTCTTACTTCACATGGATAGGTTTAGGATGCCAAAGGTGTTATAAATGTAAATATCAAATATTGGATGTTAGATATGTAAATACACGAGAATTTATATAACTATTATATCCTTTTCTTAAGATATCTATGTACTTTAATAATAAATTTGTCCAATTTGTGGCAGTGCTTTTACGTCCGCATTTAATTCTCAGCCCGTTGGGAGGAGGAATTCCAAAAGGGCACGCTCGTAAATATAACGTCTTTTTAAAAATAATTTAAATTTTGACATTTTAATTAAATTTTGGATTAAAATGATTTTTTACATATATTTTAGATGATTATAATATTAATTTTAATTAATTTATTGTTGAACCTGGATTTGATCTCGTTATGATTATAATAATCCAAAATATATTTATTGTTAATCTCTCTCTATCTATTTATGGGAGACTAGAAATATTATGAAATAACAATTACACCATGACACTTTAACCACTCGACACCACACTGATTTGTGAAATTAATACTTTTATTTAAATAAAAAAAAAATTATTTGTTAGGCATAACTCATATACCAGCATTTAGAGTCTCTTGGAGATGTTTCTCCTGTAATGAAGAGGAGTGTCTCTTGGAATTGAAGAGGTGTCTCTTGAAATTTAGTGAATTGGGAGAAGCGAGGTAGTGTTGGTAATTTTATCTATGAGTTTTATCTATATATATGATGTGTAACCCTATGGGTAATGCTAGACTCCTCTGAAATAATGAATTCGCGGCTCTGCTCTCGATGACGTAGACATCTTTGCCGAATCTCGTTAAACCTGTCTTTTTCTGATTTTGTGTTGATTTCTATTTTCTTCGCCCTAATTTATCAACATTATTAAATCTATTTTTTAACCGGAAGCAATTAAACATTAACTTATGTCGAACTAAAAATTAATTTTCCATTTTTCGCACTCAAAATAACTAACAAATAAATCATTGAAGTGATGAATATGCATAGCATGATTACATAATTTAAAAGTCTTTCGCCAATCAAAAAATAATAATTAAAATAAATAAATAAAGGAGTATTTACATACATGCCCCCCAATTCCCAAATATTTACATATCCAACACCTAAACTTTGCTTTTTAAATAACTAAAATATCTCTATTTTAACTTCAAAAAAAAAGTGAAATACACCTACTCACGCACAAACAAAGATGGAAATATATGCAAAAAATGAAATTAAGGCATTAGACATGTAAATACATAAGAATCGAAGGGTATGTAGGTAAATCTTCCACAAACATATCATTATTTTCCAAATGCTTCCACCAACAAACATTTAATTGCACTCCACATGCAATATAATTCTTAAAATCACTAATAACAAAATACAAAGTATAAAAATAAGAAAAAATACATGTATGAAATTAGTTACACAACCAACCTTTTCTCCTCCCCCTGTAAATACATTAAAAAACCAGGCCTAAAATGTCATAAACCTTTAAAACCTTCTTCACAACTCATAATTCTGCGCAGCAAAATCAGCAATTTCTGTGGATGCCAGCAACTGCTATCGAAAAAGATTGAAGAGCCGAAAGAGAAGATTGGAAGCAAATGGAATAGAGACCTTCTGTCATCTTCGTCATACTCAGACTGGGCTGCCCACTCTTCTTTTTGCCCTGAGGGTTCAAAACATAATTAAAGATCATATATACAATTGTTATTTAGTTCTGACATGATTGTGATACTAAAATGTCATATATGTAAATATCAAATTTTATGTGTTAGATATGTAAATGCATGAGAAATGTACGGTATGTATGTAATTTGTAGCTTCTAAACCAAACTTGTAGTCCAAAGATGAGTGAAGGTTCATCCTGTTCGTTAAGAAGAAACAACCAAATAAAAATTAAGGAAATCATATTCCCAATGATTTGATCGTGACATGCATAATGCGTCAGTTAAGCACTTTAGTGCTCGTTTTGTAAGTAACAATGTTTCATATGGTATTTATGTAATTATCCCTAAAAATTAAACCAAAAAAGAGTGAATGTGAGACATCTAGAAATTCAAAATAAATCAAGACTAAATCTTTTAAACTAATGAAAGGGTTGCAAAATAATACAGAAAGTGCAGAAACAGAACTGAGTATTCATCTCTAATAATTTCATTGATGTTATATGAACCGTGTTTAATCAGAAATTTGTAATTAATTAAAAAATGCGATCAAAAGCTGAAAGAATTCAGCTGAATAAGATTTCAAACAAACCTGTATATACAGATCAACGGTCTTCTTCTCAGCATCCTTTGTAGAAGAACTTGAACAAAGGGTGCTCTGGTTCAGCACTGTTAGAGGACATCCAATGTCCCAACCACCACAGTCACACTGCCCACCAGATCTCCACCGGTCAATAATACTCGCCGGACCGCCGTGCGGGGCTACCGGTCCACCATGAAGGTCAGCAGGAATTATAACATTCAAGCTCCTCCCAGATCCATCTTTCTTACTGCGACATGAAGGAAGAGAAGTCTCTAAAAATGGATTCTTCTTACTAACTTTCTCGAGAAATTTCAGGCCCCAACCACCGGAGATTAAGCCATTGGTGGTGTCTTCGAAGCTATCTTTGACAACAATGGCGGCAAGCTCGAGATTAGGGAGAAGAACATCAGAAGCATCATTAGAAATATTAGATTCATTAATGTCACCCACATCATTAATTTTATGCTTTGGCTGAATCTTTCCCATATTGCATTGTTTAAATATTTCAGCAACTTTCCAAGGAAAAACCTTACTCCCAGAAACCAGAGAAGATGATTTCTGTAGCTTGTTTGAAATTTCTTCCTGGTATCCATACAAAACGAACTCAGTCTCGACGATTTTTGTTCTGTTTTGTGACAAAAGTATCGAGCTTGATACCTTCATTTTCGCAACTAAGCTTGCGGAATTCATGCTGTGCTTCCTGGAGATCGAGTCGCCATTGTTGTGACCTTTACAGTAAAATAAATACATGGTATCAGAGGCCTTCTCGGCAGAAGATTCAATCTTCGTAGAACAGGCCGAGTATATCACTTGAGGGGCATCATCAAGGAAGAAGATGAAATAAGGCATCCCGTCCTTTCGAAAACACTGAAGCTGTCCTTTCATGATAGACAAGTTTGCTGATAGAGCGGACTGCCATGAAAATATGGACTTGGAGCTTGAAGAGGAAATGAGTTTCATCATCGGAAATTTTACTTCTGAGGCTTCTTCATCTGCTCGAGTCGACTCACTTTTGGAACTTCGCGACGAAGTGTTATTGACAAATAAAGGTGATTTGCTCCATTTCAATGTTCTCCACATAGGGCTGGGTGATCTTGATCTATGGAGGTTTATTACACCATTTAGAAAACTTAAGTGAGCAAAGAGTGATCTTTTAAGGAGAGAAATTGCCTTAGAATTTTCCTCAAACGCATCAAGTTTCCACCATTCAGAGTGACTCGGAATCACATTCCCCATGCTCTCTACTACTGACTTTTCAGATAAGAACTTACTTGTTTTCCTCTGAGATATTAAATCTTCAAAAATGAATTCGGGAAAGCTTGGGTCCAAGGGGGAATTAAACCAAGATAATGTTTTATTAAGCATATCTAAGGAAAAAGGGCCTTTATAATCATCTAAATAAGTGGAATGCTGCCGAAGATTCACAATAGAGTTAAGTAAACATGCAAAATTTGGAGGATCAGAATCATTTCCACAAGGACAAGACTTGAGCCAGCATCTACTAGTTCTTTTTCCGCAAATAACATCTAAGGTTAAAGGTGAAATTTTGCTCATCTTCTCAAACTCCATTTCAAGTTCTGATGAAGCAACATCTCTGTCGGTCTCTTGTTCGAATTCTTCAATATCAGGGTCTGGTTCTTTCCCATTCAAACAGATGGCCCCCATTTCATAAATGGAGAAAGCAAATTCAATCACAAAAATCTATAGCCTGTCATTTCTGCCAGTTTATTACTGCAGCAACTTGAATCTGCATGATAACAAGGAAAATATAGAAAAGTTGACATTTTTCCATAAAATAGGCAGTTAAGCAGCTATTTTGAATAAATAGAAGGAAGAAGAAAGCAAATCATATAAAACATGCAACAATTGCAGAGAAAAATAATCAAATTTAAATGAAGCAATCCTCAGGCAGGTGCTTCATCCTCATCGAATAATTTGGATATTAGCACACAAACCTTCCATTTATACCTACAGAATTCCGAAAAGGATCAATTTTCAGCTAAATCAAGCTGAAAATGAAGCACAGCAAGATCTAGATGCAGCAAAAAGAAAATTCAAATTAGTATCATTAATATTCTTCATCTTTTTTCCTTACTGACAGACACACTGAAGAATAAATGTCACACGGCTTTATCCCTTAAAAACAATTTAATTTTTCTTCAGCTGATCACTAAATTGTACTTGTTCAATAGACTAGAAGCATGTGGATCATGAATAATGAGATATTTATTGTCCCGTGAACTCATACTACGGAACACTGGAGAAACTTAGCTAATAAACTAAACCGAAAAACAAAACATGAGATCCACTAAAGTCCTGAAAGCTAGATTAACCACCACTAAAAACAGAAACATGAAAATAGTGAGAATTAAGAGCAATAATTAACTTCTAGATTTTGCTGTTAAGCATTCCCCATAACTTTTAAAAAGAAAGACATATTCCAGCTAAAAAGAAAGAACTAGAACCAGGCACCGGATTCCTCACCTAGATGATCGATCAGACTCGAAACTTCACTGAGGCGACGCCATCGATTTATACCGAGAACAATGAAATGTGATGCAGATTCAACCAGATAGGAGTTTCTTTTCACCCTTCCCCTGCGCCTATCTCAAACATCCTCAAATAAAGCAGATCAAACAGGAAGAAGATGGAGCGCAAGGGCACAAAAACCACTGCTTTGCCTTCCTTCAAGATCTCTATTTGGCGAATAAATTGGAAGAAGAAGAAGAAGAAACAAGGAGATCAGAAGAATGAAAACAGCGATAAAACGCGGAAAGATGCGATCTTTGCTTACTACAACCATGAATGGACTCCAGACAATCCGTCAGGGGGCATTAGTTCTAGTGCTTGAAAGACTTTAATAAGGAAAGTGAAGAAATCCACATTAATAAGTCGCAGAGGAGCTGGAAAGGGAAATATGCAAGAAAACGGATATTTTGGTTGGAGTTTCGTTTCTCCCAATAGCTTTTAATGCTCTTTGTTGCTGGCTTCAGTTTCTCTCTTGCATTCCACCTGGTTCACGAGGTCGAGATTGGGGCATTCGAGAGGAGAGCCGGGCCAATGTGGGACCTTTCTACTCTCAAGCACTCATCTCCATGGAAACTGCGGACTTTATCCCCAAGCAGAGGAAATAGTCAAGAACAAAAGAAGCGCACAGTGGAGAGAACGCGACACGGCATGCTTATTTTCGGGAACATTTACATAAATACCACACAATTCATATGAATATACATATCTCAACCCTAAAGTTTGATATCTACACTTATAAAATTTTGGTGTTATAAGCCTAAGCATGAAAAAATAATTATTTTGAAAAGATGATGATACTTTTTATATAAGGTTAAATGTTTGAGTAATATACATGTAAATATAATTTTTTTTTAAATGATAGTTATATGAATACATAAGAATTGTGTGATATGTACGTAAATACCCATGTTCTTCTTTTAGGGACATTTATATGCATACCACCCAATTCTTGTATAATTACATAAGTAACATATATATTTTTCTTTTTTAGTATTATTTAGCCCAATTTTTTTATATCATTGATGCGTGATAGAAAATTCACGATGGTAGAGTAATGAATTATCTTCTTAGTGTTGCACGAGAATTCAGTACATACAGATAAAAGAAGAGAAGTAAGCAGGAGGAGACACCTCGACATTTTATGTGGAAAACCCTTGAAAGGAAGAAAAACAACGGGGTCTAGCCCAGTTGAAATAATTCACTATGAATGCTGAGTACACATGTCTGTTCTTTGTCTAAATTAGGGAAGATATAATTACAAAGTTGCATAATTATAATCTATCTGCAGTTCTTGGCAACAGCAGGTTGCAAGGGTCATTGTTGATTGTTGTGGATGTAGTAGTTCGTCATGAGTGTTGTAGATTGTTGCTTCAGTAGTGTTGACTGATTAGAGAAGTCGTAGTAAACTATTACAGGAGTTGTAGACCACATAGGTCATAGATGGTTACGCAGACCGTAGTGGTGTGTAGTGGTGACATCCATAGACCATGAGGACTAGAGTCTGGAGTTGCACGAGCAGTGGACCACGTAGGCCATAGGAGCGAGTATTAATGACAACCGCAGATCACAAAGACGGGAGTCGGGAACTGCACAAGCCAATGATCACTTAGGCCTTTTGGGCGAGTATCAATGACATCTGTAGGCCGCAGGGACCGGAGTCGGGAGTTGCACAAGCTGTGAATCAGGTAAGTCGTATGGGTGAGTATGAATTACATTCGTAGGCCGCGGGGGCTGGAGTCGGGAGCTGCACGAGCTGTCAACCAAGTATGTCATAGAAGCGAGTATGAATGACATCCGTAGGTCGCAGGGGCCGAAGTCAAAAGATTCATGAACTGTAAACTACGTAGGTCGATGTTGACACAAGAACTGTAGTGATGAGCTCTTGTCCCACGACGATGAATGATAGTGTCTGGTCGGTGAGGATCGACACTGATTGGTGATGATCAACGGTGATGGTCGACAGTGGCTGACGACGATCGATGGGTGTTGACCACGACCGACAGTGGTCGATGGTGGCCAGCGGTGGTTGACGACGGTTGGGATGGTATTGGACTTCAACTCCTTCTCAGAGCTTTTAGTTCTCTCTGACGCTTCAAGTCCTCCCTCATGTGAGAGGTGGGCTCTATTTATAGTGTTTTGGGTGTCATTAATGCATGAATATGAATCATTTTAATCGGATGGTTCGGAAAGCTTCTTCCGATTAAACAATATTTAATGGGCATTTGAGTACCTTAATGATGTCAGAATTGCGCAATCTTAGGCTCGTTGGATTAGTCTTGTCGAGACGCTCAATTCGACTATAAACTTGTCAGTTTTGACATCCATTTGATCTTCCAAATATGTTTGGAGACCCTCTAAGAGTGATTTAATGACATGGTCTGGGCTTGCTTTGACTTGTATTGGACTATAGTTTTTATATCATTAGGTCCGTCCCATCGAGCCGGTCAGTTTTATTAGAAGTTTGTTGAAATCAGAGTTCTGTATGACTTTTTATAAAAAGTCAAGATTTGAATGTTTTTTTCTCAAAATATTGTCTCGAGATCCGTGTCATGCCTCGAGATTCATGTCGGATGATGAAAATTTGTTGAGGAGTTATTTTAACTCTTATTCAATATTCAAATCATCTTCAAATAAGATTCAAATATTCATTTTGAGCCTAGGTTTGACCAATATATATATATATATATATATATATATATATATAAATGGATTCTAAGAAAGTTTAAATACGGTACGAAGTTGCAATAATAATTTCAAACAATATTTGAAAGATATTTAAAACTACATAGAGACAGAGTTTGAACGCGTGTGAAGTATAGTTCAAATTAGGTTAAATTCTTATTCATGCGTATTCAAACCTCATTTAAACATGAGTAACCATATTCGAATCTCGTTCAATCCCACTTCTCTATTCTTTCAAATTTCAATGCAAATAATGAGCAAGTTTAAGCTAGGATTCTTCTTCCAACTCCTTCATATCATAAAATAAAATTATAGCTTTTGGAATGGATAATGGCTCTTTCTAAGTTGCTAACAATATATATATATGCACACTAACTAGTACATTGTTTTAGTTGTAATGTTATTTCATGTAATAATTTTTTATGTAAGAGATTGGCCTTTTATGTTTGTATAAATCCATCAAGTAAATATGTTTAATGTAATGTTAAAGATTAATTCTCATTAATATAGAACTTCGAATAATATATTTATATAGTTTATGATTATTTAATCTTATGCTATGACACTTGTCATTATAACGAAAAATTTAAAATACACCATATTAGAGATTAAGGGCCCTTTCAGGCTGAGGTTTTTGCACAGCGTGGTTGGGGGCTGCTAGTCCTGGTCATTTAGGCCGCATTTTGATCGTGGCGACCATGTCATTTAGTTTTGCATCTAGTGGTTGAACAAATATTCAATCTTTATTTGAATAAATATTAACGCTAAATTTGAGTTGAATAATTATGCATTTTTAACCTAATGTTCTTTTTCCTACTATAACTTAGGAGTGTCAATGTTAAAATGGATAATAAATACATTATAGCCTATATCACATGCACCTATATTACAAATATACGTCAACATCAATTTTGAAATAAATTATTAGTGGAGAAATGACACTTAAAATATATATATGGTCTTCGAAAGATATAGTCCCACGACGGTCAATGAAAAATTTTAACTTATATATTTTATTGTATGATGAACATTGGTGAGTCAAAAAAAGATTTATATTACATATTAGGTGGAATATCTTAATGGACTAACCTTTTTATGGTTAACACATTGTTTACCTCACTTTTGGTTGATGTTTAGTTTTTCCTCTTTAATAGCATACGGTCTAGCCATAAGACTTTCCTGTTGACTATTCATAGAGGACTAGAAAATGAACCTTCACCATTAAAAACTCTAAACCATTCTTTTCTCAACTTGAAATTCTACATATTTGTCCAAACCTTTAGCACTTAGTAGGTGGGGTCAATATAGGAGAGCTCAAGGTGGTCCCCATAGGACTGCTTGGTCTTAAAGTTGACCATGGGTGTTGGTCTGGAGCTGGTTCATTCACTTGCACTCAGTTTCACTCATAACCCTAAACCCAAACTTTGCTCATTTGGACTCAAATCAGGTAGCTTTTGAAGTTGTAATTGGCTTCCCCTCATCGATACCTCTGTCTTTATTATAAATTCCATGAAATCAATGTTCAAGTGTACCTAATTTTCCTTCCAAAAAAAAAAATTTATATTATTTTAATAGATATTGAGATTTGTGTTCAATCAAGTGAATTTTTTTGTGATTTTTATAACATTTAACTACTCTCTCTCTCTATCAACACATTAATTGTTAATCCGTCTTTGTAAACCTCTTAATCATACCTACCCATATGTAACATCATCAAATATTTTCTTCTATGTCGATCTCTATCACTCTTGCTTTTTTAAGAGGTTCTAGCACTTATTGCTACTACATACATTTGAAAAAAAAAAAATCTATATTCAGCACAGCCTTCTTAGAAGTTTACTTCTTCCCTGTTTCATTCAATGCAAGGCAATGCAATGCAATGCAATATAAGAGCTTGCAAGGATGACAGCACAACCACCGTTTTCTTAATCGCTTTCTGACGGATTTAAAAATTAAGAGAAAAATTCCTCTTTTTATGCCGAATTCAATGTCCCAAAAATAGCAGCCTACGCACATTTTTATTTTATGTTTTTTAGTCTAGACTTAATTATTAGTTTGAGTAGTTTGTTTTTCTTGTCTGTTCGTCGGCTATGGATGGCGCTGTAATTCCTTATGTCGTTTACAGTGGAGCTTGTGATCTATTTCATGTGAGCTCGCATGGGAAACATTATTAAAGCATTAAATAAATATATTAATAATAAGTATTTGCAAGTGCAAATATTCATTGTGGAGGTTCTTTGCGTTGCTCTTGAATCAGCCTTGGATTCTCCCCGTCAACTCGAGAACTTGGTATATGAACTTGTCAGCTTGGGAGCCGGGCAGAAAAGCTGAGCACAACTCGACAGCTTGACAATTCAACAGCTTGGGAATTTGGTAGCTCGACAGCTTGACAGCTTGATAACTTGGCAGGTCTTTTTAAGTGTATACATATATAACAAAATTAATTGATGTTTATTATCGATGGCAAAATCAAAATGATGAGACTTGAATGTATAACCTATTGGTAGGAAATAAAATGAAGAATTTCAAGATGTTGAATTTGAGTGCTCACATTGCCTGAAAATAATAGTAATAATACTAATAAAGAGTGATATTTTATTTAAAGTGAATGATTATCGGTTTATCTATTAAAGGAGATATATTATATGAGTTTTCTCTAGATTATTTTGGAAATTATTGTCAGCCTATCCAATGCCTTTATGCGTCGTAAATGTAACAACATGAATGTCAATGAGATTCAACGGATCGTGCGAAGAAGGCAAGAAAGGATTGAGCTATTTAGCGACATTTAAGTCAGTTGAATCATGAGCAGACTGAATTAATATTCGTCCAAATCAAAGAACGCCACGCACCTAGACCAATAATAACTTAACCAATACAATGACATTAACAAGGTCAATGATCGTTTGGTAAAACTCTCACCAGACTTTCTATGAAAATTTATTGCTCGAAGTAAGGTTGTCTGTCAGATTAGAGTTACGCACCATCTACC